ACCAATCATAATATTAGGTTCGAATCGTGGAGTGAACGTCAACCTCTGGTATAAAGGTATATACAACTGACAAGTCTTAAAGTGAACGAAACGTGTATCCCAAATCCCACTACTAGCTACAATTCCTATCTTCTATGAGATTAGTTTTTAGTCAAAGTAGTCTAGCTTAAGGTAAAATTTCCAATTGACAAATTTCGCTATGACCTTAGTTGTGAAATTTACAATTAATAACTTGAAACATATAAATTTAAATTTAGCTACTAATTATGTTTATATGTGAATCGGCAGAACAGATTAATAAGAGAATGAAGCATTCGCGTATGAATAGATGTATGAATTGTTAAGGACAAATTTATGACTCCATTTTTATGTATAAATGTAATTTCGAAAATGAAGTAATATACTAGATCTCGTTTTGTTAATGTTATAACTTGTGGCCTTGTGTCATATTAATATATTATGTAATGACACTGCCAATAAGAGAACAGTGATTTATCGACAGGACCAATGACGCATAAACCCGTGCGAGCAGTCTACAGTTCTTATCGGTCCTTCTTGCTACCTAGCCCTGCCTGTTGAGTCCAGAACACTAATCTCAGCCTCTGCGATATGAATCATGTATTTCAAACAAGGCACACTAAACACAACTAGCGAGCACATTAATGAACACATATATGAAAGAATAATTCTGCCTGATTTTACATAAATTATAAAGGGAAATATCTAAGCATTTCAACTATAAATCTCTAATCTACTTACGTATAAGAAATTCATCCGAATCTTCTCAAGATTTGTTCGTTTTTAACTTCTTGCAAATATAAAAGCTTTAATTGTTCATCAAATAGAACTTGAACTTTGTAATTATCTTAATTTTAAATTGATTGATATTACATTTTAGACTAATGGATTTAACAATATAAAGAAGCCCCCAAATGCCCTGGTACGGCCGAGAGTGGGGAGAGTCCGTTCTCCCTCTCGAAATACTCTCACATGGCCACGCGTATACAGCCTCTGACAGGGAAGTCCTACTCACCGCCTTCTCGTGGCGGGGGTGTTGTTTACGAAAATGAGAGGATGAAAAGCGGTTGTCCGGCGCTTTAACTGGATCCCAAACCAATGGTGCACATGGGCTCCAGTATCCTGCGGGAACAAATGGCGTATGAACCAATCGTTGGTCACCGGCTACCATGGGACTGCATCTCCTTACGATGCTCGATTGCCTTGTGGGTTAGACCTTTAGGTCAAAGGCTCGGGGTGTGGCCCCCTAAGATAACCACCTACTTCGGTCTGGGCACCCGGGCAGTATCGCAGCCCACACGCAAATAATGAACTCTCTATATCTATGGAAACTACTTTTCTCGCTTCGAAAAACTAATCAAATGATTCAAATTATTGTCATTACTATTATTATTATTATTATTATTATTATTATTATTATTATTATTATTATTATTATTTACTACGACATTATTCACCCTCTTTTATTCCTACTCTGTCTATACTTATTTTTTCGACTTATACAGCAGCTCGTCTTTGGTGGAAATTCGACTGTATCTAAACGTTCTCGAGTCACTGTCCGGTTGAAAATTGTATGTTACCACTGAATATGAGTACTGAAGCAGTATTTCTGAAACCACGTGCACCATTCAAACTGGCTGCCTTCAACGTTCGCACACTTATGCAGGTTGAACAACAGATAGGGCTGGCTATGTCTTTGGAAAGTCTTAATATCGATGTCTGCTGTCTATCTGAGACCCGTATTCAAGACTCTGGCGAAGTACTACAAATTCGATCTCCATCTGTCGCTTCAAAAAGCTTGTTTTACGTGCGCTTATCCGGGGACCCTGTGGCATCTTCATCTGGTCTTGCTGGCGTTGGTGTCGCACTAAGCGCTAGAGCTGAGGCAGCACTGATCGATTGGATCCCTATTAACAGTCGGTTATGTGCTGTTAGATTAGAAAGTTCCATCAAAGTGAGAAGAAATCGGCGTGAGAAACGATGTCTTTTCGTCATCTCCGCCTATGCCCCGACAGATTGCAGCCCGGATGCAATCAAGGATGAGTTTTACCACCAGTTATCTGTTCTCCTCCACAAAGTGCGTTCGACAGATATTATAGTGCTAGCCGGAGACTTGAATGCTCAGGTCGGGCGTTTAGGCACAGAAGAGAGTCGTTTAGGTGGCCGATGGGGACTCGTTGGTCGCAGGTCAGATAACGGTGGCCGTCTACTACAACTGTGCACAAACCACAACCTGTTTCTGGCTATCACTAACTTTCGGCACAGTCATCGCCGATGTGCCACCTGGCGTCCTCCCTCTGCATCCCAAGCCTGGACTCAGATTGATCACAACGCGGTCAGCTACCGCTGGCGTATTTGTGCACAAGATTGCCGCTCCTTTTGGAGTACCTATCTGGACACTGACCATGCCTTGGTCTGCGCCAATCTTACCTTACTTTTCAGTAAACAACGAAGTGACCGCCACCAGCGGATTGATGTTAGCAAGCTGGTTGCAATTTCTGTTGCAAGTAAGTATCGAACCGTACTAGCTTATACGCTAGCTACCATTCCACCGAAAAGTATAGATGAGCATTGGTTGCAATTGCATGACGCCATGAGAATGGCGGGTACAGTCAGTTGTGGGTTCGCGAAACGTCCCGATTATAAGCACTGGGTTTCTTCAGGCTCCTTACAACTCATCGAAGCCCGTCGGTCTACTCCTAGTGACCGTGAGTTTGACCACAAACGAAGGGTGTTACGTAAGGAAATTGGGCAAAGCTTGCGTAAGGACCGAGAAGCATGGTGGTCGGAGCGTACCAATGAGCTGGAAGCAGCAGCTCCATCTGGTAATTACCGGAAGCTCATCCAAATCATCCAAGCCACTGGCAGCAAGAAGTCTGGTGTGAGCGAGACAATCTGCGAGGATGATGGGATGCCAACCACTAACACACATCAACGTCTTGGACGATGGGCAGAAGTTTTCGAAGGGCAGTTGAACTGGCCTGCTGCTCCGGCAACATCGGTCAGACTGTCCTGCCCTCCATGGACGGTGACGACTGATCCACCAAATGAGGCAGAAGTCCGCAAGTTTATTAACATCCTAAAAGCCCTACATATAAACACCTCAAGCAGAGTGAGGGCATACAACCACCTCTCTCCATTGTTCCATTCGAGCAGTGGGGTTAGGCAGGGTTGCCTAATCTCACCATTCCTATTCAACTTTGCCATCGATGATATTCTGGAAACAGCTCTGATGGATGTAAGTAATGGTGGTGTGGATATGTTGCCTGGAGAAAGACTTCTCGACCTTGAGTATGCGGATGATATTGTCTTACTGGGCGATAATGCTCAAGGCATGCAATCCGCACTTAATCAGTTGGAAATCAGTGTCCGTAGGTATGGTATGTGCTTTGCACCTTCGAAGTGCAAAGTACTTCTACAAGACTGGTAGGATTCTAATCCTGTACTCACCCTGGGTGGTGAGCAGTTAGAAGTAGTCGAGAAGTTCGTGTATCTGGGTAGCTGCATAAGTGCTGGTAGGGGTGTGAGTGATGAGATCAATGCACGTATAGTGAAAGCCAGAGCGGCTTATGTCAATCTGGGCCACCTTTGGCGCCTTCGTGATGCTAGTCTGGCTGTAAAGGGTCGGATCTACAACGCATCGGTGAGGGCAGTTTTGCTCTATGCTTGTGAAACCTGGCCTCTCCGAGTTGAGGACGTTAGAAGACTCTCTGTGTTCGATCGTCGCTGTCTCCGAAGGATTGCTGACATCCAGTGGCAACACCATATCAGTAATGCAGAGGTTCGCCATCGTGTGTTCGGGCACAGAGACGATAATCCAATTGGTGTCACAATGTTGAAACATCGACTTCGGTGGCTTGTTCATGTTCTACGAATGTCGTCCCAGAGAATTCCACGTCGTGCATTATTTGCCGACTCTGGGACTGGTTGGAAGAAGCGGAGAGGTGGTCAGTGCATGACATGGTGTCGTGGTATGAAAGAAAGCTGCAAAGGACTGGCTTCTGTCGGTCCTTCATGACTCCCTGGTCGGGGTCCGAGAGATGGTGCTACACAGTGGCTAGAGACATTATCAGATATAGCTCAGAATAGAAGCCAGTGGCGATCCTGCTGTAACCTTCTTTTACTTTCTTCATAAAAAGTGGTTGTGTCTCCCTCAGCTGAAAGATTTCTTCTGATTGTACCTTCCCGTTCTCTCATTATTACTACTACACTACCTTACACCAACCTCTTCGTTATTGTTCTCTTTTTTCCTTTCTCTTCGAATTCTCATTGTTTTGTGTGGCGTATATATATTGGCGCTCTCTTGTACCAATATTTGTGTTCAAATAATAATAATATAAAGAAGATCACCTTTTGTGAATTACTTTCATATCTAGTTTGATTATCTTCAGTATTATACTACTTCATTTTGGGGGGTGGGGTACCTTTAATTTTTACAATACTAAGGAGAAACAGCCGTCCAGTGCTTCCAGGTTTTCCATAGTGTTCTAGCTTTAATTGGCTCATGAATTCAACTACCAAACCCCTGAAGTCTCCACAAAAGCCCCTTCTGACAAGAAGAGTCTCCAACCATTGGTTACGATAGTCACGCGGACCCCAACCAAGTAGTCTGCATATACCAACATGGCTCAGACTAGAAGTTAGTGACTTCAGGCAATGATGCCACGTTTTGGTTTGGCCGCCCCTAACTTTCTTCCAACCATCTCCAACACCGGTTAGCATTGCACGTCGTCGTCATCGGTCTTCAGGCATACATAACACGTGGCCCAACCACCTCAGTTGATGGAGATTCACCTCATCAAATGATTTGTCATCATTCCCTAATACCCTGCATCTAACCTCACTATTACTCACCCGGTGATCCCAGCAGACGCCAGCAATATTTCTAAGGCATCTGTGGTCAAATACTAGTACCTTATGAGTATCTTCTACCCCTAGTGGCCATGTTTCGCAGCCGTAAAGTAAAACAGAACGAACGAGATTCTAGGTCCATCATGGACACAGTAAATCTACTTTGATTTAGCTAATATGAACCTATATATAGGTATAAATGAGTTATATCTATTAACTCATAACTATTTATAGTTCTCTACAAAATAAAACAATTTGATATTCAGTAAGCTTTTGAAATGATAGAGAAAGAAAGCAACATATATAGTTGTAACTGTAAAATGAAGTGATACATAATAGGGAAAATAAGAGAATCTTCTAAGTAATTGAATCGAATAGAAGAAAAATCAGTTCATTGAAAGGTCTACATATAGAAGTTATCGAATCCAGGAGGTATGGCATGATCAGGATCTGGAATATGGCGACGACCACCTGAAGGATGTGGTCTGACAGGTCCTATACCGGGTCCAAAAGGATCGAATCGAGCCCCCGGAGGGACTGCCCCAGGAGGAAGAACATCAGGACCATCGAGAAAAAAGTCACTATCAACTCGACTACCAGGTATGATGCGCCTTGGATCTAAAATCATTCCACCACCTCTTGATGGCCCTCCAATACTTGCTAGGGGATCAAGGTCACTTCGTCCATAATCTGGCGGTAGTGTCCCAGCTGACGGCTCTGTTCTGGTGAAATTGCCCCGAAAGGGTATTTGTGGCTACAAAGAGAGGATGTGAAAGACAATTACATTTTACACATTCGTTTAATAAAGACAAGTCACTACAGATTGAATTTTTTCTTAGGATACATTCATAACAGTAACTGATCAACTATTGCTCTAAATAAAAAAACCATCTAGTTGATGTCAATGCCACATAGTGCTCCATTTTACAAGTTATGCTCGGAGAAATATTTCATAATGATGGATGAAAAACCGAAAACCTGTTATCGATAACAATCAATATTATCAAGCCACTAGTCTGGTTTCAATAAATGTAACCGATATGTTAAAAGACAGTCTTAGGATTATTTATTTATTTATTTATTTGAATAGTAGTAATAATGAGAGAACGGGAAGGTACAATCAGAAGAAATCTTTCAGCTGAGGGAGACACAACCACTTTTTATGAAGAAAGTAAAAGAAGGTTACAGCAGGATCGCCACTGGCTTCTATTCTGAGCTATATCTGATAATGTCTCTAGCCACTGTGTAGCACCATCTCTCGGACCCCAACCAGGGAGTCATGAAGGACCGACAGAAGCCAGTCCTTTGCAGCTTTCTTTCATAACACGACACCATGTCATGCACTGACCACCTCTCCGCTTCTTCCAACCAGTCCCAGAGTCGGCAAATAATGCACGACGTGGAATTCTCTGGGACGACATTCGTAGAACATGAACAAGCCACCGAAGTCGATGTTTCAACATTGTGACACCAATTGGATTATCGTCTCTGTGCCCGAACACACGATGGCGAACCTCTGCATTACTGATATGGTGTTGCCACTGGATGTCAGCAATCCTTCGGAGACAGCGACGATCGAACACAGAGAGTCTTCTAACGTCCTCAACTCGGAGAGGCCAGGTTTCACAAGCATAGAGCAAAACTGCCCTCACCGATGCGTTGTAGATCCGACCCTTTACAGCCAGACTAGCATCACGAAGGCGCCAAAGGTGGCCCAGATTGACATAAGCCGCTCTGGCTTTCACTATACGTGCATTGATCTCATCACTCACACCCCTACCAGCACTTATGCAGCTACCCAGATACACGAACTTCTCGACTACTTCTAACTGCTCACCACCCAGGGTGAGTACAGGATTAGAATCCTACCAGTCTTGTAGAAGTACTTTGCACTTCGAAGGTGCAAAGCACATACCATACCTACGGACACTGATTTCCAACTGATTAAGTGCGGATTGCATGCCTTGGGCATTATCTATGGAAACTACTTTTCTCGCTTCGAATAACAGTCTTAGGAAGATAGGTATGGTGCTACAGGCAGTTAAGCGGCTAACTAACTTGCCTCATTACTTTAGAATTAAGCCGGTCAAGCACCAACCTACAAAATAAGAAGTGAAAAATGTATTTATTATATAGGGATATGAGTCTGGTACTAGCTTCACCTTTCTTTATGAGTCACTAAATTGATGTTCAACACGTAAAGGACGTACTGGTATTGGAGGAGAATGCTGGGTGCTCCGAATTAAAATGTTAAAGTGCCCTGTTAAGCATCCTTACAGAACAGTATGATATTTGAAACCTAGTCTGTATTCGAGCGAGTTCCGAATATACAGACTGGCTTATCTATTTATCGACTTATATTTTTACGTTTGGTTGTATTATTAGTAGGACAGAGATAATAATAATGCGCTGAACGCACAAGATCGTTGACATTTAATCCATGCTGAACATATATAATTGGTCGTATTTCATACAACAACGAAATATGGAGTACTCGGTAAGATAAGTAAGTCAATAAGTAAGGCGGTCAATCTTCAGTCGACCACATATTTAAGTTGGGTCCGAATGAATCGTTTATATCTTACGTACGGTCAAATAAAAAAGGAGTTATGAATTTTTTAAGTGTTTCCGCTTAGTGTAGAAAAAAAGGTTGAACAGTTAGTATGAAAAGCCTATGGTAATAAGAAATATGAATGGTGTGATTTATGATTATACATAGCCGTTTATAGTTTGATATTTAAACCATCTGTTATTTATACAAGATAACTTCTTGCAGTTAACAGATTTTTTCAATTGTATCTCTTTACATTTCTTGTTCAGCAGTTTAATAATTGCAGTATGAACTTTAAACAGCATTTTCGCTTTAAGAAACGATTAACTAAACTGCTTACAGATGGGAATGGAAGATTACATTTTAATTTTTATATATTCAGCATATTCCAAAAACTTTATGTAGCTGCATCATGAGTTTGTCGTACACGATATTGCTAATAGTAAGTTTCTGAAAAATCTCAGAGCGAAGGTTATCGTAATAATATTCAGAAAACACATTATCAACCATAAATGCCAAATAGGTCCAAGCAAAATATGAAACCTAGTTACGAATATGCACTATTGTATTCCAAACTATTCAACGATATGATAAATGTTGAGATATTGTTCTAGAATAATAGTATGAAAGAATGAGCAGTGAGCATTTCTTTAAAAATCTTAACGCGTTTAGTAGACACAGATTAGTATTTGGTTCCGAGCTACACTCGAAGTGTGGGGGTTATTGGTGCTACTGACAACCCAAACCGAAGTAGATGGATCAGGACCTGAGCCTGTGACTTGGTGGCTGAATGTTAAACACCTTAACCACTGGACCAGCGTCATCAAAGTAATAGCCACCAAATGCCCTGGGACGGCCAAGGTATGGAGAGCCAGCTTTCCCTCTAGAAATGCCCTCAGATGTCCACGCGTATACAGCCACTACCAGGGAAGTCCTATTCATTGCCTTATCGTGGTGCGGGTATTGTTTACGAAGTTGAGAGGACGATAAGTGAATGCCTGGCGCTCTAACTGGGTTGGTGGATACGAGGTATCTACCAAGGGGAGTTAGAAAACCCTCATTCCAAATCAATGGTGCACATGGGCTCCATGATCCTGAAGGAACAAATGGAGTATGAACCAATCGTTGGTCACCGGCTACCATGGTTCTGCGTCTCCTTACGTTGTTCCACTGTCTTGTAGATCAGATCTTTAGGTCGAAGGCTCCGGGTGTGGCCCCTAAGAAAACCACCTGCTTCGGTCTGGGCACCCGGGTAGTATAACAGACCACACACAAATCAAGTGACTTGTGTGGCGCATATGTATTCTGTTCCTCTTTGTACCAATATTTATGTGTTCAGATAAATAAATGACTGGTGTGACTTAAGTATCAAGTACAATTCTGTAAACTGTATTATCAGCCACGACTTTTGTGTGAGAGCTCATGGAAGTACCCGGCTGCATACACTGAAGTAGACAGTGTAGTCGAACGTAGGGTTAATGTACGTGTTAAAGATAGCTATGTGTATGAAATATGGTTCGTAAAAATAAAACCGGATAGAGTAAATGATGTTCGGATGATAAGTTCAATTTTAACGAAGAAAACAGTGGGATTTCTCTATAATGCTAACTTAAAGGATCTGTTTTCATATGAACAACTAGGGCCATCCTGATCAGCAATTAGACGCAATTAGTTTGTCATAATCCACATAGAGTCAGACACACATGTGTTAGCCTATGGTGACATACTAAAATCATCAGAGCAAAATGTACAATAGCAGGGTGGTCAAGGTTTGGTTGTTCTTAAGAAATATGAGGACTGTAAATACGCGTTTAGGGTATCAAACTCTATGAAAGCACAAACAGTATTCACATATCCACCTTGGTAGAAATCAGACTATCTGAGAACTATGCTTGTGATACTGTCGAAAATAATGTACAGTAATGTGTAACCATCAGTTCGTTTAATTCATAAAGAAAGCTTGGAAAGGAATATTTAAGCATTGTTAACTCAGGTAACTGAACAATACTATCAAGAAGTGTATAATTTAAGCTATGACGTTAGTTGAATTAAAAAGACTGTAATCATATTATGGACATTGTAAGCACAAAAATGTAGTAAACTGATCACCATTATCCTTCAAAAAGTGACTGATCACTAATTATATGTTTTTTGTTTACAATGCATGTCGTTCAACTACTTGTGCCTGTAGGAGACAACGTGTTTATAAGAACCTGCGTTTAAATTTGGACAACATTGGATTTACTTAAAATTCGATTGCTGAAATTTTTACAAATATAATCCTCCTGCTTGATGTTCAACAAACTTGTTAGTTTAAAATCGTAACTAATCTTTCCATAGATCATAAGAAAGTCTATACAGAATTATGTTGCTGTTTAATAGCATCAGGATAAATGTCACAGTATGAATTCCTAGACAAAAAAAACAGTACAATGAACTAACTGAAATTACAACGACCGAAATTGAAGGGTGAGAAATAGCATTTCTCAGACTTTTGGAATCGCTGTGCTGTAGGTCAACATTAGCTGAAGATTGGGAAATAAAGAGCACCGAAGAGATGTTTTGCTCTGGCTCGACTCTTTGAAATTTCGGACCGAAAAATCAAGATAGAACCTAGAACCTTCAAGTCTTGCAGAAAATAGAATACTATTAGGTTAGTAGGTTTAAATTATGTGGTCAGAAATCCCAAGTTTGGTTAATTCACAGTCTAACATAACTATTACTACCTGAAGTCAGTGGGTGGTTATTCTATTCTCTCAATAATCTGTTAACTCCACATACTATGTATTACACCCATTTTATTCCAAGGACTTCAGAGCATGTTTGTCTTATTCTAGGAAGTCAAAGAATATATGTGCAATATCACTACCAGATAAATAGATTAAGTTCTTAATGCAAACATACTTGGTTATGGAAATCATCATTGCTTGGTCGAGGTTCATTCTTATCCGTTTCAGATGGACGGCAGGAAAGAGGTGGTGGGAGGACAGGTTTCCATAGATTTTCCTCAAAGGAGTCCAGCAGTTCGTCTAACTGGGGGAATACGATATTAGCATCTCCGTAAGTCGAATTATCGACGCTATCAAGACAAACATGTTCGATTCCAGAAAGTTCCAAATGTCCAAATTTATCAGTAGTTGTGTCTGTTACATTAACAAAAATGTGAGCGTCTGTTTCGGCTACTGAGACTTGCAGCTTTTAAAGATTAAATAACATACGAGACAAGAGTTAAAACTTATGATATATATATAGTTACAAGTCAAAGAAATTAAAGTTTGAACAGCCTTATATAAAACAGAATGTTAGCACAAACAAATCCCAACGTGCATTTCAATTAGCACTATTCCCGTATGTACTAAGGTACTCGTTTACTTATTAAAGAGAACACGTAAAACCAACAACACTGAGTTTGTACATAAACCACGGTGTGTCAATTTGATAAAACTTAGAAGCAAGTGTTGTTGGTACGGTACTACCTCGAGCTGCTTAAACACCAACATACTAATAGTAAATTGAAAAAATAGGGAGAATTACATTAAAGACTTTAATCCGTTTTAGAAAGTGAATCGAAACAAAATGACATATTCACTGGGACTCCTGTGATCAACCATCTTACTGATGTATGGTACCTTGGGTAGGGCACATTTTTGTCCGGTTTTTACGCTATGACTAATATTATTTTTCCAATGATTTCATTAAAATTAAAAGACTTCGAAGAGATGACCAGTAAAACACCTAAAAGCATACATTTATAGATCTAAAGGGCTTTAAGATTCTCGGAGTGGAAAAAAATGGATGTTATTACTTGATAGAGAGATGTCTGTGGGAATGGTAGTTGTCAATGTAATGGACAAGAGTGTCATACCATAACACATTTACTTGACCGGGTTTGGAAGGCATTTTCGACTTTCCTCGATAATATAGAAACTTTTTAATGAGACACAATCAATGTTGCTTAATAAGGGAGTTTGAATGGGTTCTTGTACACTATTTAATTTTCTCGAAGCTGTAATCAAAACCCACCAATTAGATAGGAATTATGATAATATATATGATATTTCTCAGCAGTATTTTGAGGCTATTATGGGATTTCACGTCATTTAGCTTGACGAAATTGCCATACGACCTGCTCGCAAAGTAATATCTGGGATCGCCATTTTCAGTCTTGCGTTCTGAAACCAGATTACTCTTTTCCAGCTAAGTCAGTTACTGTCTTAAATGAATACGTACGTCACAAAAACACCTCAAAATTTAGCAAGTTAGTTGCATGTAATTAGTTTAGTACATGAACCTGTACAAGATAACAAAGCTGTAGGCTCGAGAAAACCAAGTACGAATAATGTCGATAGATCTGTTCATCTCTATGAGTGCTAAAAAGAAGTGGGCTGATTCATCTAATAAAGATGAATAATTCTAATTAGATCCATAGATCGATTTCATCACTGTACTTTTACTGAATAGTGCTTCTACAAATAGTTGTATGCATCTTTTGTTGCAGGTCGACAGTTTATTCTGACCTGAAGGCTTCCGTTTTTACTAAAAATTTCCGAAATTTGTAAGGGATATACTTGCGCATAGTGTTTTGATTATAATCCATCCGAGTAGATCGACAGTCCAGAAGAAATTGTGGTTCGCTGAAACTGTTTCTAGGCAGAACAACTTGCTTATGTGTCATATGTTGCGACCAAGCCCTTAAAGGACATTCCTAACGGGTAATTTAGCGAGGTAACCTAATAAAAAAACGAGTGCCATGGGGAGCTTTATTTGCTGGAAGATATCTGATTTAAGCTTTTAGTTGTATATAAGTAGTCTGAGTAAGTATATGAGCGAAACAACACAAGTATGCTTTTTACACATTAAACGGTGTGCTGGGTGCAAAAGATACATTCAGTCAACGACAGGACCCTCTCTCCAATACTTTAGAAGGTGAATACTTAAGACAAAATAAGTATACGTACTTGGGTGCACGGTGTTGATAACGTGTCGGACTTTGATCTAGATATCAACGCGTATGACATCCGAATAGGATCTTCAGCAAGACAGGACGAACTAAGTACTGCAGTTCGCGCGGTAGCTTCTGTGGGTCTTGCTCCACGCGATAAAAGTTCTGAGTGGACCAAAAGAGCTATAAACGAAGCTCGATTCTTGCAATTTGACCCATGAAAGGATAAAACGTAGTCAAGGATGCTTGTTTCTACAGGACTTTTTTTACTACTTGCATTAGACATAGGTGATGTGAGATGAGCTTGATTTAACGAATCCTCTCAAAAGATTTGAATGTTGGGACATCAACGACCTTGACTTTATAAAGACTACAAAGTAGCGTTAGACTTTATGTAACTGGCTTGCAGGCAACTTGTAGCCTGGATTAAAATAAATTGGAAGGGAGAAGGAAAAGTAGTAAGTCAGCAACACCATCTGCATGTAGCATTGATTTTTTATTATAACTGAACACAGAAGCTACAGGAATATTACTTCGCACGAGTTACAGCAGGACTCGAAGAATTACTCAAGGTTATCCTAACTGAAATATTTACCTGTAAGATTTTACTTTTTTGGAGGCTACTTGAAAACGGGGCAGCTGAACAACTATGTTAGGATATACAGTAGCATGAATTCGACATGAAATTATATATTTCAAACGGTCACATAATAAGCAGTCAACCTCATTATATTATAACTATTAGTCTAGCAAGGTAAATAAATTCTACAACCTAACCAGTGCTTCTAGGTGTGCTAGCCCTCCTTTTGAAACTCCGATGGTCGGTGAGTAAAAAGTCCGAACGTTGTTTGGGACATGACTTAGGTATCATTGATCCTCTGACAATTAAAGTGTACTTTGGATCTGTATGTCAGCACTGATAAACTTAACGAGATCTAACAAAATGTAGGATACGGATGTCCTTGAGCGGTGTTCGATGGGAGCGATGCCATTTTCTCATCGGGAGTAAAACCTACTACTGAACAACTAACAAAATACTTTGCAAACTTGAGATTATTTCGTAATGACCACCATTTCACTGTCCTAGAAGAAAGTCTTGGGAGGAATAAGTGCTAGTGAGGTGAAACCATGGGATGATTAGCTGCAGAAAACTAATGGATCAAACTAAAGGTGTGATGGCATTATCAGGTACATGCGAGATACTTTGTCAGTGCCAGTTATTCAGATAGTGTCACACGATAATCAGACATTTAGGGTTGTAGGCTTTTGAGTGATATATGAAGGATAGGATTCTGAGTCACTTTTGGTTTGAAGCTGGCAAAACTTTCCAAAACAAACGGTAATCGTTGTCAGCATAGCTGTAGAAGGTTCAAGGTGATCAAAATTGCTGTTTACCGTGACCAACAAACTCATTTGAGATTTAACTGCCGGAGTACATAGCATTCTTATGTTATATAGTCTAACCTTAGTATCGATCAAGTAAATTAGTCAGTCAACCATAATAACGTAAAACCTAGCATATTGGGAGTGATCTCCCGGTATAAAAAGAATGAGATCTTTTAAGACCCAAGAATTCAAGTTAATTTACCTCATCCATAGCAGTGAGACTGATTTTATCATTACTTGCATAACCCCTCCAACCATCGATTGTGATAATCGCGTTGGACCTAACCACAAAACATCCCACCACCAAACGCATCACTTAACCCAACGGTCATGTTCGCCTGATATTACCCATCAAATTCCCCACAAGTTCTCATCTTACTCCTCTCTCAAGATGATGATTTTATTGGTGCCTAGTACCTTCGTACGATAAGTAACCATGTATCACCATACTCTTAAATTTATAATTGTACTCCATTTTCATTACCGAACAGCAAAGACAAAATCTCAGAAGCTTCGACGAGTTTATTTCCTAACGTTTCCGCAATATTAAGCACGTTTCAGGTCGTTGGCGTGGTGAGAGCCACGTATTTATCTGGACTCTGGATCCTTACTTAATCAAACAATTGAAAAGGTCAGTAGCACCACGCACACCCAGGGATTGGTTGCAATATTGTATGTTTAATTTGGTTCCTTTAGGGTCACTACTACTGATCACAACTGGTCTTTTATCCATCAAATCTGTTGGACAACTTAAATAAAATAATAATCCGGAAACATCGCTGTCAAATTTACCCCAACACTGACTGAAGTTTATGCCATTATCACAGATATGAGTTAGGAGTTGTACTCTCGTTGATTACAGCTTGTGCTCTTCTCGATAACCACAAGAGTAGGACTCTCCGTTTATCATCTTGTAAAGATTCATTTAACCGGAAACATCGTACAACACCTTATCACCCATATTTGTGGGCAATAAGCTTGGTTGACTCACTCATACAAACTGATCTCTATATTATTCAAAACGTGACACTTTCAACTGGCTTTTAAGCACCAGCAACCAATGTGTATGAATATAAGTAGTCGATCTATTGGACATGTGAACATTGGAGTCCAGAGCACATCTCTCACGAACCTACTCATATTTAAGGGGTTACTGTTGTGGTGCGTGCTACTTATATTGATATAGTTAGTATATAACGTGAGTTAAAAGAATGTAATGTCTGGCAGCAGAGGATGGGGAAGATCAAGAAAGGAAGAGCGAGAACACAATGGAATTTGTAAGAAACCGCATGAACAATGAAATGTGAGACAATGGATTGATGTTTCAATGGCAACAGTCCGGTTTGATATGATGGAATGATATTTTGCAAATTAACGACTTACTATATGATTTTTCTATTTTACCAAGTAATTCTGTAATCTTGTGCTAAATACAATTTGGTTGTCCTCACCTGTGTTCTCCTTCACTACATTTGGTGTCGCTGCCTCCACTAAGGATGAAGACTCCGTGGCCGAAGGAGTTTGAGGACGGAGATGTGCTGAGCTTCCTGAAGGAGTTTGACGCCGTGGCGGAGCTGATGGGAGTGGAGGAGCCGAAGGCGAAGTTGGTGGTGCTGGGGACGCTGCTGAGAGGCAGGGCGAAGGCTGTGTATGACATCGTGGACGGTGCTGGCGGGAAGACGACATGGGAGACAGTCACGCAGCGGTTGCCGCGGAGTTCGACAGCTCAGTGGACAGAAAGGGGGGCACCGCAAAAGTTCCGGTTGGCAAGGTTGCCGCTCGATGGTGACCCACTGGTGCTGTCTGCGGAGCTTGGCAGATTGTTACGTCGTGCGCTGCCGAGTCTGGATGAGGAGTCGGAGGCACAGTTGTTGGCGTCACAGTTCATCGAGAGTGTGCCTGCCACCATCTCCCAACAGCTGAAACTGGTGAACGCAGCGCAACCGACGGATATCAGTGAACTGGCGAAGGCGACTCGTCAGCTGATGACGCGAACAGTAGCTCCGGTCGGGTGCGAAAAGCAGGAAATGAGTAATGTCGAGAAGAAGATTGAGGAGCTGGAGCGTGAGATTGCAGCAATACGAGTGAACCATAAAAGGAACGATAAATGTTACGCTTGTGGAGGGACAGGACATTGGAAGATAAACTGTCCAACAAGACGGAGACGCAGATATTTTAGACGTTATAACGAGTGTTCTTTCTATCCCAGGAATCCGGGGATTGTTGCGTTAGTAGACAAAGGGGCATTATACACGAGAGTGAACATAAATGAACGAGATTTAGTTTGTCTGATCGATACAGGTGCAGCAGTATCGTTAATAGGCAAAGAGCAATGTAAGAGACTCAAGCCGTGTACATTAGCTGTCCACACTATAGGAGGCCATATGTTAGAGGTGTTCGGGGTATCTAACAGTATCGTAAAAGTGGGAGATGCTGAGATAAATTTTCCGTTCGTGGTAACCACAAGCTTATCGAGACCGATATTAGGAGCAGATTTCCTAAGAGAAGTAAAAGCGATAGTTGACTTAAAAAGCGGTAAGGTGGTCACAAAGTATGGTTCATTGACAATACACGAAAGTAGCGAAGTGGCTGAAATAAGAGTGGCAGCGGATTTCTCGTCGAAGAAACCAAACACTAACGAGTTATGCAAGAAGTATGCGAAACTGTTCACTGGAGATGGAGAGCTGTATGGATTTTGTGACAAAGTAAAGCACGAAATACCGATAAAGAACGATCGAGTAAATATATTTGCAACACGTCGTGTCCCGGTGCATTTAGAGGCTGAGGTAAATCGTCAGGTCCAGGAAATGTTGAAAGAAGGTATAATTGAGGAAGCGGACAGCCCATATAGCTCACCGGTACTCTTGGTAAAGAAACCAAATGGAAAGTATAGATTTTGTGTCGACTTCAGAGAATTGAATAACATAACAGCCCTGAAACCTTGTACGATGCCAACAGTGGTGGAAACATTAGATCGGCTACAGTGCTGGATTTACGGTCAGCTTATTGGCAACTGCCTATAAAACAGAGTGATCGAAGCAAGACAGCGTTTAATGTACGTGATAAATAGTATCAATTTAAACGAATGCCGTTCGGGTTGGCGGGTGCGCCGTTCACGTTCAGAAGATTAATGACACTACTGTTCAAGAATCTAGATAATGTCGAGGTATATGGCGACGATGTAGTTGTGTACAGTCAGACAGAAACAGATCAAATCAAGCATGTGGAAGCGGTCTTAAAGCGAATCGACGAATTCGGACTTCGGATCAATAAGGACAAGTCGCAGATAGCGAGAAGTAGCGTCATATTGTTGGGACATAAAGTGGGAAATGGAGAAATAAAACCATTGCCGGAGAAAACTCTTACCATTAAAAATATTACAGTACCAAATTCGAAAAGGAAGTTGAAACAATTCCTGGGAAGAGCGGCGTTCTACAGTCGGTTTGTCAAGAATTTCAACGAAATAGCAGCACCCTCATATAAGTTATTGAACAGCACCAAGTTTACGTGGACTGAGACTGCCGAACAAACGTTCAACCGAATCAAAAACGTGCTAGACGATCGCCAGATGACGCTCAGACTGCCTGAACCGGGAAGACTGTTTACAGTGGCCACAGACGCGAGTGGTCATGGTATAGGTGCTGTGTTGAGTCAGGCTGATAGAGTGGTGGAATACGCGAGTCGCGTCCTCACACCTGCTGAACAGAAGTATTCAACCGTCGAAAAGGAGTGTTTAGCAATCGTGTGGGCAGTGGAAAAATGGAGACCGTACCTATGAGACCGACCATAAACCCCTGCAGTGGTTGAAAACAGCAAGAGACCCTCGAGGGAAGTTGGCGTGACGGACGATACGCCTGTAAGAATACGACTTCAGTATCGGCCATGTTCCAGGAAAAGAAAACGTAATGGCGGATTACTTGTCAAGACCAGACATGGAAGCCAACCTGCCATTAACAGCATACGCGGTGAATAGTGTGGA